ATGGGTGGATGGATGGATGGATGGATAGATGGGCGGATGGGTGGATGGGTGGATGGATGGATAGATGGGTGGATGGGTGGATGGATGGATGGATGATGGGCGGATGGGTGGATGGATGGATGTATAGATGGGCGGATGGGCGGATGGGTGGATGGGTGGGTGGATGGATGGATGGATGGATGGGCGGGCGGATGGGTGGATGCATGGATACATAGATGGGCAGATGGGTGGATGGGTGGATGGATGGGCAGACATATAAACAAATAAATTTCCCCTTCAACCTTCACTGCCAGCTCTGTAGATCTGTCTACCCAGAGGTAGAGCCCAGGAAAACTTACCATTTCTGCAGGAGAGCTGGGAGTGAGGTAAAATTCCTTTAAGTGCAGAAAGAAGCCTTCCAGCTGTCCAATCAGCAAAAGTAAGACGACACCATCTGCAAACTACAAAGAAAGGAACCAGAGGCTCGGATAGGGGAGCAGATGAAGTCTGAGGGCCCCCACTCTGCCTTTCACAAGCTGTGTAGCCCTGAGGAAGTTGTACAACCGGCCTGAGCCTTGGGTTCTATTTTGAGAAATATGGACAACATTCCCAATTTTTATACTGCAGACAGCAGTGGTGGGCTGTCTGACACAGAGTATATGCTCAATAAAAAAAGCTATTCCCCAATTTGATGCAGAATAACCTCATATCAATATTTAAATGACAGTGTCTCCTGCAGAGACACTGAATTAAACAGAGGTAAGTGCACAATTATTTCATCAGGAAAAGGCAGGAAACAGCACACTGGGCCCCTTTGTGGCTGCCACATTAATATTTCTTTGTGTTCAGAGATAAAGGTGTCATCTCTGTCACCAGCATATCATATGCTAATACAATCCCATTGAATCTCTTCAAAGACACAAAACACTAAGATGGATATTGGAGGAAAAACCACTGCTCTAAGTCCTTAATGGAATTTCCTCTTATTATGTCTGTTCCGATGTTATTAGTTTGGGCCTGAAATCTGTCCTGCTGATATTCCTGGCATATAGTACACATGATTTCATATCCCTCCTTATTCAACAGTCTCTAAATACCACGCCCAGCCTTGTTGGGATTCTCCAGAGCCAGCATTTTCCTAAGGGAGAAGCAGGGCTCAACAAGGTAGAATAGAAACATCCGAAATCGTCCGGTTTAGACTACGTAAGGTAGAACAAAACCACAAATGTACCAGAGACTGGGGATTGGCAGTGCTCCAGGTGATATTAATCCCCCTATACTCATCAACTCACATATGTTGTGTGATTAAAAGACAAGACGAACATTTAAATTTTTTAACTGTGTTACAAATAGGCACATTGCCAATTACCCCCACCCCCTTACTTTGAACTCACTTGTCCCATTGCTCCGGTCACTTTCTACAGCAGTTCTGGAAGTCTTCTTTCTTGAGTGTCTTTAGTTGCACTGTCATGACTGCCTCAGTGTTCTGAATCGACTCAAAATGTTGACCGTCCATGGTCATTTTGACTTTGGGGAAGAGCCAGAAGTCACACGGTGCCAGATCCAGTGAACAAGGTGGGTGAAGACACACTGCCATGTTTTTATGAGGCTGCCTTTCCACTGGATGGCACTCGGCGACAGCAGTCACTGTGCTTTTTATCACACTTTGTAAAGACTCTCAGGAAAGAGGATTCTAGAGCTGCCTCAGAAAGTGGCAGGAATGATAGGATGAGTGTGTCGGGAGCTAGAGGGAGGACTTTGAGAGGGACTAATAGCAATGTGTCTTTTTTTTTCCGGTACAGGGAATCAAACTCAGGACCTTGTGCTTGCCAGGCAGGCACAGCACCAGAGCTACTTCCCCGGCCCTGATAATGTGTCTTTTACTACAATAAATATTTTAGAATTTAAACATTCACCACATACTTTGATTACATCTCAGTGTCACAGTCCTTTAAGGTCAGTTGATGTCCTTGTACCCATTTTATACAAAGAAAAGACAGGTTCAGAGAAGTCCAATAATTTTCCCAAGGTCACACAGTTAATGTGGAGGTGTCCTTGGAGCCTAAGGGTCACAAGTGATGGCACAGGATGGAAACCCTATCCATCTGATTTCAGATTTCCACCCGGTATAGCATACCACCACCATGCTCAGACCTCAAACAGCTGCCTGGTGATGTGGTTCTGAGCACAAACTTCAGCACCAGCTGCCTGGCTTCAAACCCCAGGGCTACCCCATCATCCCTGTGTGGCTGTGGATAAGCTAACCAACCTCTCTGTGCCTTAATGTTCCCCACTGTAAAGTGTGGGGTGATATCAGTTGCCCTCTTGGGGGCCGTGTGGGGATTCACTGAATTCATGTAGTCATGGAACACAGCCTCTCGGGTGAGGCTGCGGCTGACAGTGAATGCTGCCTGTGATTCTACCCTGGGACAGTGGTTCCAGTCGCCTCGTGTGCCTGCCACAATAACAAACCTTGCCGGTGAGAAGTCAGCCTGCGGAGAGGCTAGCTCTTGCAGAGTGGCCCAGGGGACAATGCTGCCACTCAGTAACAAGCCCTGAGGCTCCTAGAGGTGACATCTCCTGGCCACAAAAAAGTTCCTGGCCTCTGTGGAAACCCCCTCCCTTCCCACACAGTGCCCCCTGGCCACCTGGGGACCTGCAGCTGCGGCCCTACCTGGGTGTCCAGGTCCTGCACCGACAGCCCCAGGCGCTCCAGCTTCTGGTTGACAAAGCTCAGGATGGCCTAGTCAAAGAAGAGCAAGACCCCAGCTGGGATGCTGGTTTGCTTCCCTCCCACCGTTCCCACCTGACCCCATCACCTGGGATGCAGTGGCCCAGGCAAGGGCCTGCATGGCCCCTGGGTGTGCAGGGCAGGATGGCCGGCCAAGAGCACCTGGGCTGGGTTCTCTCCTACCTCCTTCATGGCACCCACTTTCTCCGGAGCCAGCTTGAATAATTCATCAAAGATGTCCTCTGCAGACCCAGAGCCAATAGACACCTCATTACCGTGCTATTATCTCTGCACCAAACGAAGAAGATCTTCCCACAAAAGTCCAGAGCGGGTGGCCTCAGAGTGTCACCTGACCTCTCTGGGCCTTGGTTTCCCTGAGTGTATGGGTGGGTACTACCAAGATAGGTGTGGGGGGCAGATGCAGACAGGTGGCATGGTGACAGTGTCGCAGGACCTCAGGGAGCCTCGTCCTGCCTGCACTGACCCAGTCACTGTGCCCACTCAGCTGCCCCACCCACACCCAGGCCATCCTCCTCCCTGCCCCCTGTGCATCACACAACCCACAGATGCTGATGCCCCCCTCCCCTGGCTGTGCTCTGGGTCTTTGGGTTGCAAAGGGGGCACATCTGGCCTCTCAGCGTCTGACCTGCTGCAGCTAAGGGGCTTCTGGGGCTCTGGGGACAAAAAGAGTCCTTAAGGCTCAGCCTGGGCCCAGCCTCAGGCACCAGAATACTCAGACTCGGCCACACTGGGGCCTGTGATTTGCAGCCAGCACAGCTCCGGGGTACTCCGGGCTTTGGGCCCTGAGTACCCAGACCAGTCTGAGGCTGCCTTTGGCTTCTGTCACTCAGCAGCCGTGTGACTCCGACAAAGTCACCCCACCCTGCTGGCCTCCATTCCCTTGTTTGCAAGGGAAAAGTCCCATGAGATGGCATCATGCACATTAAAACTCTCGTTCAGTGGTCAGCAAGGGCGAAACACCCTGGTCCCCCCCAGGGCTCTGGCTGTGGCCAGAACAACTGTGTTGCTGAGGGAGCCAGGGTACCCTGTGTCCCTGTGCTCACTGTGACGCCTTCCTCACCCTGGCCCCTGCCCCAGACACTGTGCCTGGCCCCTGTGTGCTCCTGCTGTCCCCTCCCCATCCTCACACAGAGGCATCTAGCACCCCCAGCCCCTGCCTGCCTTCCTCACTCAGCCTCCCCAGGCTCCTCTCTCAGAGGCCCTCACAGGTTACCGTCTGCATCTGTATGTGAGATGCCTCTCGTACCATCCCTCCCCATACACCTGGGGTCCGAGTGGAGAATTCAGGGAGGAAATGAGTATTAAGAGGGAGGGAGGGAAGGTATAAATGGATGGATGGTATATGGATGGATGGAAGGAAGGACGTATGGCAAGTGAATGAATGAATGGATAGATTTATATGTGGAGGGAGAAGTAGATATGTGGATGCACAGAAGGGTAGGTAGATGGATAGATGGAAATATGTGGGTGGATGGCTGGCTGGATGATTCATGGATACTAGATGAGTGAGTAGATAGATGGATAGACACTTATGTGGGTGGGTGGATAGATGGATGGATGAGCGGATGGATGGATGGATGTGTAGGTGGGTGGATGAGTGGATGAATAATTGACCGGACCACCTGACCGAGGAATGAGTACAAGAAGTAGAAACTGAATATCAACCAGTCGATCAATGAACTTCTCCATCAGGACAGCAGCAGCTGCCCCATTAAGCACTCACCACTGAGCACTCCTCATGTGCTAAATGCATCCCATATTGTCTCTTTTGTCCTCACTACTAGTGTAAGGAGTAGGTGTCATTGTTGATCCCCATTTGTAGTTGAGGAAACTTAGGCATGGGCAGTTAAGATACCTTCCAGAGCCCACATGGCTAATGAGTAGGAAGATCAGTTCTCAAACCCGGGTTCTCTGGCTCCAGAGCCCAACGACTCTGGCGATACCATCCCTATGTAGGTTCTAAATCTCTATCTCCAGAGGAACGGTAGCAAGCAGCCAGCTCCATGGATGGACAGACAGACAAGAGAGAACAAACAGGAATAAGGCTTGAGGAAAGGGGTGCACCAGCAGTTAACCATCCTCCCTGCATGTCTGCCCTAACCCATATCTAAAGGAAGTCTTGCCTTCCATTAGCAAAGTACTCACTTGGAGGTTGGTCCTTGTCTGTGCTAAAGGGGAAATTGTAGGAGGAAAAAAAGCAAACAAATGGTTAAAGAAAAGGCTGCAGACCTAAAACCGCCCCCATGCCAAGCTCAGCACCGCAGGTAGCAGGGACAGAGCACACTCATTGCTTTCCCAGCAGCCTCTCAGGAAGGTCAAGCCCCTCTGACCACAGTGCTCCAGGAAGGAGCTGGGTCACCCAGGGTGGTGGGCAGCAGCCTGACAGAGCCCCAGGCTCACCACAGGCCAATGCCACTGGAGGATGATGGTCCCTGTGCTGTCCACAGGTGCCAGAGTGTGCAGCCCTGGTCCACAGCTTGACAGCAGCCCCATGAGACACCATGGACCAAAGCCCCCAGCTAAGCTGCTCCTGGAAGCCAAGAATGACCACCAAAACTTTGAGAAGAATGAACATTTGCAAGGGTTTGAAGATGCTCAATCTGGGCAAACTTGTGATGCAGCAGTTGATAACTGATACAAGAAACCAAAAACCTTCAACATCACCAGCAGCTGCCATGTTCGCCTGCCTGAACCCAGGTCTAAGCCAGCTGATGTGAAGGTAGTGACGGAGGAACAGCCACCAGCCCCTGCAGCCCAGCTCCCTCCTGGGGACCGTGGGCAGAGGAGTTTTGTCGCCAACGGAGGCAGAGAATCTCACTTTGGTGTGTGTGGGGGGGGATTGAAAACCCAGTGACAAAATCAAGAGAGTCGGGGTGAAAAAGCAAGATGCTGAGGATGTGGGGTGACAGCTCCATTCAGGGGGCCCTCAGTGAAGTCAGCAGGGAAGGAGAGAGCACAGTCCCTGCGGGTGCCACTCCCAGGCCTCCCAGGAGCCACTGGGACAGAATCACATAGAGGCTGAGTGTGGCTATGTCACGCCCTCCCCCGATGCAGTGGGTCTCTGCAGCCCACGTGGCATCACAAGGACAGAGAAACGCTCTGCTGCAACCAGAGAGCCTCTGCGACATGCTGAGCAGAACTGCATCCCAAACCCACACTGTGTTCCCTGGATGCCACCCCAGGGAATGTGGCAGGGTGGCTGGAGGGGTCAGGCAGGGACCCACAGGGGACTTGTGAGCTATGGCAGAGCGGAGGGGTCCTTGCAGACGGACAAGCTCCGCCGGGCCTCACCTGCTCTCCGTGAGCTGTTCCACCGACTTCTCCGACTTGAGGCCGCTCTTGGTACTCTATGAGAGAAAACCGAGGAAGGACAGTGTCACCCTAGGAAGCTCTGGGACCCCCTCCTGGGAGGCCTGAAGCAGCCCCGGGGGACTCAGTGGCTCTGTCTCATCCCTCCCAGGGTGCATCTGGGCAGTTGCTGTGGTCCCGGGGAAGGGCCCTCCATGAACCTTGAGCCCATGATGATGGGGACCATGACCTCCAGGTTCCCTGAGGTAGTTTGGGTCTCGAGGACAGTGCCAGTGGTGCAGGTGGGCATGAATGGTGATGAAGGAAGGGAAAAAATCAATGTCATCCCCTCTGATTTGAACAAGTAGGAACAAAAGGAGCTTTAATGAGTGAGTTTGAGAAACAGTACTTTGGGTGAATGGGTGGGGATCACTTGCTTGTCCCATTAGGACGAATCAGGAAGCCCTCACCCTGGGACCCCCAGGAGAGGGAGGGGACCCCAGCAGGAGCAGGAGGGTCCCCTGGCTGTGGTGCTCAGAGCACAGACTTCCAGGCACTAACTAGGCAAAGCCAGGCACAGCTGGGAGTGAATGACACTGCCAGGAGGGCGGCAGTTTTGCCTCAGTGGTACAAAGTCCCCTGTGTGGGACTTCATGTGACATAGGTGTCACCAGCCAGGATCTTCCTAAGGGTGCTGACCCCAGCCTTGGCCCTGCAGGTGTCACCCCACTGTGGTCCTGGGGGCACCTGCCGCGTCTCCCAGCCCCCGGGAACCCCACCTGGGTCACCCCTGCCTGCAAGTCCAGAACGCAGGTGTCAGCTTGAACGGATGGATGCCTCGACCCAGCCGTTTACCTCAATGGTGACGACCTCCACCCGGACATCGGGCGGCAGGGCCAGGTGGGGCTGGAAGCGCCGGGCCAGGGCCACCAGGAGGTGCAGGGTGGCCAGGAGGTCCTTGTTGAAGATGGCTGTGAGGGGAGAGGGGCGCAGGTCAGAGGCAAGGGTGCCTCAGAGAGCCACCAAGTGCAGGCCTCCTTGTCCTGAGAGCCACCCTCTGCAGACTGATCGCCACCGTCCCAGCTTCCCAGCTGCATTGGTTTATTGGTTAGCGTTTGACACACGCAACTCCATTTTGATTCTGGCAATTCTCACACCTCAGGCAGCCAAGAGAGCAAAGCACAAAGCCACAGAAGGACATGCCCACCAACCTCCAGAATCTGCAGTTTCCACAGGTGGCCCTGTGAACACAGCAGGCTATCAAGTGGACAGGGCTTTCGACAGGGAGGTGTTCCCCACAGCGCTGTTTACACAGGTAAACAAAGCTCCCGCAGTCAGCATGGCTGAACCATCATCAGATGTAAGCCACCTGCAACTTAATTCAGGGCCACCACATAACCAGGGCGGGACCCAACCTACCAGCGTTTGGCAATGGACTTTCTGTTACCCCACTGCTGCCCAGCCTTGGAGAGCTCAACTCCTCTGGGCCTCAGTCTGCCCATCTGGAAGATGGGGAGGAGACAGAACTGAGTGGCAAAAGTCTTTACCCGGCGGTTAACGGGGTGCAGCAGGGTGGTCTGAAGATTTTGTACCCTCTTGATTGTTAAAAGGCAGGTGCTGCAGCCATCGTTTAAGCGAATCGGTGGGAAGGGCACGTCCTGCCTCTGGCACCTGGTGGCTGCACTAAGGACCTGCCGTCACCCTGAGCTTGCTCCTCCACCTGATGCCGGACTTTGTGAGCAACTCCGTGCTCCCCTCTTGGCTGCCGAGGCTTCCGCCTCCCACCCCACCCAATAGCCCGGCTGCTTCCCCAGCTGGGCAGCCGGGAGCCGCCTCCTGGGTAAATTGGAAGCTGGTGCCAGGCCCGCCCCAGTCTGGCCCACGGAACGCACCGTCCACACTCCACCTGTCCAGCGGTGCCTCCACCTGCAGGCTCTGGTTTGCGGCTCCCAGCACCACCTCGAGCTTGCGCCTCTGGCTGGTGGCAGTCAGTGCAATATCCTCGGCCTCCAGCTTGAGCCCTGCCAGCTTCTCTGTGGCAGGAGAGGGTGTGAGGGCCCGAGAGGCAGCACGGGGACCCGGACGGCGGGGGCTGGCCAGTGCACCGGGCAGTACAGGCCACGTTCAGGGCGTTGGCACTGGGTCACCTGTAGCTCAGCTTCATGGGCTCATTAGCCTCGGGAGATCCCGTCCCCGCAGGAAACCGGACCAGGGGAGGGGCGTGTGTCAGGGGCGGCTCACAGCCCTACCAGGTGCCCTCTGTGGCCCACAGGGCCTGGACCTGCACAGCAATGGCCACTTCATTCCCACAGGGCAGTGTGGCCTAGTGGTTAAAGCCTAGGCTCCTGAGCTCATGTCTTGCTCCCTGTGTTCTTTTCTTCCTTTCTTTCTTCCTTTTGGTGGTTCTGGAAAGTGAACTCAGGGTCTTTCCAGTGAGCTACATCCCCAACCCTTTTTATCTTCTGCGACACCACCTCACTAAGTTGCTCAGTTGCCCAGACTGAGCTTGAACTTACGATCCTCCCGCCTCAGCTTCCCAGAACACTAGAATTAGACATGAGCTACCACTCCCGGCCGACCTCTACTTTCTCCACTGTGAGAGTTGGACATATCACTGGCATCTCGGAGCTCCATTCCCTCGTCTGTAAAATGGGGTGGGACGCAACCAGAGCTGTTGAGAGGGCTGTCTGCGCCTGCCCCTGGGAACAGCCCAGGGAGCCTTTGCTGTGGTTGGCTGGAGGCTCAGCAGTCCCGATGAGCCCAGCACAGCTGGGTGCTGAGGACACAGTGCCCCTCCCCCAATAGTTCAGGGCAGCAGACAAACTTGGACATCCCACCCTAGGTGCCAGGGCAGGCACAGCTCCAGGGCTTGTGTAGGGCTGGGAGGTGGCTCTGATCATGGGGGGCTTTGTAGATGGGGCTTTGCCAATGAGGTAGGTGCACCACAATGGGAGCCCAGTCCTGCCCTGGCTGCCTGGGTCACTTCACCCCGAGAACCTGCTTTCCTTCCAGCAGCCCTGAGTAGCCTGGGGGACGGACAGGTGGTTTCTTCATCGCCGGGCCCCTAAGAGCAGCAGGTGCTCCATAGATGCTGGCGAGGCGAGGCTGTGCCATGAGAGAGCCCCCTCCAGACATCAGAGCCTGAGGAGCCAGAGCCCCTGGGTGTGGCAGGGTCCCCACCTCCCTGACGCAGGGCATCTCCAGAGCAGGACAGGTGTCCCTTTCTGGGGGACAGAGCAGGGAGCCAGTGGGGCCTGCAGGGGGTGGGCGGCGCTGGGCTTACGGAAGAGGTGGTGCAGGATGAGCCCGTCAAACAGGTCCTCCTCCAGGCTGCGGACCACGATGTGCTCTGGCAGGAGGGTGGCGTTGACCCACTCCATCAGCACCTGCAGCCGCGGGGCACAGCCTGTGTCCCTTCGTCCCACCTGAGGACTCCTAGCCAAACTCTGACGCCTGGCCAAGGCCACCTCCTCCAGGAAGCCCTCCCTGATCCCCGGGCGCCAGGGAGCTGCTCTGGGCTACACCGACAGCAGGCCTCTCCACCCCACCCCGGGACTGGGGCTGCTGCCAGGAAGTGGGCACCGCTGTCACGGGTACATAAAGATGAGGACTTGGCTGTGGAATGGGTACCGGGAACAACTGGGTAGCAGGCGCCCAATAGAAAAGGCCCAGGCTGCCTTGAAGAGGAACTGTGGTGCTTTCCTCGGGGGCTCGGGGTCGACATCAGTTGTCAGGACACAGAGGAAGGTGAGGGACATGGACGCCCACCAAGGGGTGCATGGGGGCACCAGGGCTCGGCTCACCACCTGTCACATGGACAGGAGCAGAGGACGGGTCCAGACACTGCCGACACCGGTTCAGGGCAGTGCCAGGCGGGTTTGCCAAAGGTGGGAAAGGGAGAGATGGGGAGGCTGCACCCGCAAAATCTGAGTGGGGACAGTGATGCAGCAGAAAGGCAGCGTGGAGACTCGCAGAACGGGTCGGGGAGAGGCCCAGTGAGGCCTGAGCCTGTTTGTGCCAAGTGGTTCAACGATGGCAGCAAGGCCCGGGGATGTAGCTCTGGTTTCGCCGCCTGCTGCGCAAGTGCAAGGACCCGAGTTTGATCCCCGGTACCAAAAACCAAAAACCAAAAACCAACAAACAAAAAAACAATGATGGCAGCAGCACGGTCACGACCAAGGTCGGAGCTGAGGACTGAGAACTGAGAACCGGGCTCTCAGGGCTGCCATACCTTTTGCAGTTCTAGGAACTTGGGGTCCTTCCGGGAATTGGGTGGCAGGTATTTCTTCTTTTCTCCTGGAAGCACAGTGGGGCGTGATGTTCAGGGGGTGCTGTGGACACTTGGCAGCCCTCTCCTTCCTGGCAGTTCACCCCGTTCCCCTTATGAACGCCAGCATCACCCAGATGCTATGACATTGGGTTTGGGGGACATGTCCCAACTCAGAGGTGATTGCTCGTGCATCTGAAACAGAAATGGGACCAGGTATCCTGCGTTTCACTAGCTCTGAGGGCTGAGGTAGACACTGCCAGGCTGCCTGGCTCCCTGGCATGGAGGTCCCTGAGGCCTCTGGGGCCCAGTGGCTCCTTTCTCTCTTCCCTGAGACCTTGGTCAGCAGCTAGATTCACGGCACACACAAGGCCCATGGGGACCTGGTGGTCCTAATGTGACAGGGAAACTGCCTTACAAAAGCATTCTGTCATGTGGCCCGGAAGGAGGGTGCAGCACTTGCCTGGGGTGTATAGGCCACATGGGGTGTGGGACAGTGGTGGAGAGCCCAGGGCACAGCTCAGATGGGGGCTCCCACCCTCCTGTCTCACCCCTCACCCTCCGCCCCACCTCCTCACCTTGCAGCAGCTCCTCCTCCTCCCTGGACAGCGCCACATTCTTGGGGAGCTGCAGCAGGTTGTAGAGGGACTCTGGCTCCATCTTCTTCCTGGGGGAGGCAGGGGATGGAGGGCATCAGGGTCCCAGAGGCCTTGGCTCACTCTGCACTCATCACACCCGCATTCCAGACTCCCAGGGACCCAGGCTGCTCCTCGGAGCCCCCCACACCCTGGGGTGAGCTGGGGAAGGATATGGGGCTGCCTTGCAGGGCCCACAGTGGACGCTGAGGGCTGATATCCCGAGCTGGAAGCAGCCATGCCTTTGAGGGCCCTGGGCTGGAGCCAGGCTGACACTGGGCAGCACCTCCAGTCCTGAGGGAGCATGGGGGCTGCTGAGCCAGAGGGCGACCCCACTCCATGCAGGCTGGGCTCACAGGAGAGGTGGCCATAGCCCTGAACGAGGGTCCCTCCATGGGGCTTGGCCCCCCGCCTCTTGGAGGACTTGGAGGACTCAGGGGCCTTGCCCGTGAACCCTAGGGCACAAGGCCCACAGGGAGAGGCGGCAGCCCCTCCTCCACTGTTGTTACAGGCAGTGCCAGGCCTGCCCATGCCCAGGAGGAGATGCAAAGCCAGCCAGGCCCCTTCCGGTCCCAGCCACTTCCTCTCTGAACTTTCCCTCGCTTGCTGACTGCATCTCCCCTCCCTCCGCCCTTCTCTCCACCCGGAATCTGCCCAGCACCCAAAACCCATCCACTCATTCAGGTGGGGAGGTCACCTGGCAGGAGCCAGAGCAGGGAGCCCCAGCACCGCGGGGAGGTGGAGGTACCCTGGGGCCACTGCAGCAGCCGAGGGGACACAGCCCCAGGGACTGGCTCTTAGCTCCACATTTCTGTCAGATGTGTGACTCTGGCCCTGATGGCGCCCAGGGGACACAGACCCGGAGTCACCTCTAGTGCTCAGCGACCTTGGGCGCGCCCTTTCTCCGCCCTGGTCCTCAGTTTCTCCATCTGCACTGGGGTTGCCTTCCTCCCTCACACACTGCAGGAAGTGGAGGGTGGGGGCCCCGTGATGGTGGACAGGTGGACAGGGCGGACAGAACACAAGGACAGGTGGAGGTCCCTTTCCCCATCCCTCCCGTGTGGCCTCAGATGAGACTCTGGCTGCCCCCTGTCCCCAGCCCTGCCTGAGTGCTTCTCCGGCCTCCCCTCTGCCCTCTGGCATCAGCGTGTGGCTGGGAAGAATGTCCTGGCAGCCAGGGTTCCAGGACAGGGTACACAAAGACTCACCTGGCTGCTCCTCAACTGGAGAATGAGGCCTAGGGCTCAGAGGGTGACCCAGAGTCGCAGCAGAGCAGGTTCCGGTTCCCAGAGGCTCCTGGGGCCCGGGGGTGGGTGGCCCACGGTGGCTGCTGCTTCCTCCAGGGCTGCTCGGAGGTGGCCCTGTGGGTGCTTCCTCCTCTGTGCAGTTCAGTTTCAGGGCCACAAGCCCCACCCACCCGCCCGAGGCTCTGTCCCGGCCACCACTTGCCAAGTCTCCCAGCCGCTGGGGTCTCAGGCAAGGCTGACACCACCCCCGCTGCCACCACCTTCTGAATCCCCCCGGCTTCCCTCCCTCCTCTGCCTTCCCCTTCCCTCCCCCTCTGACTCCCCCCCCCACCCGGCTTCCCTACCCTCTGTCTTCCCTCCCTCCCCACCCCTGTCTTTCTTCCCCCTCTGCCTTCCCTCTCCACATTCAAAATGACAAACCAGAGCCCAGTCCCTCAAGTTTTCACCATCCGCAGACTCACTCTGCCTCACCTTGACCCTCACCTGTGCGTGCTCCTGCCTCAGCCCAGGCCAGTCCTCCAGCCTGGACCACGCAGGATCCCTCAGGGTCTCATGTGCATCCCCTGCCGCCCCAGGGTTCTCCATGAGCAGCTGAGGCTCCCTTCACCTCCCAATCACAAAAAACCCACCAATGAAGCCCAAAAGGCCGTAAGCCCAGCCCGGAAGTCCCTGCAGCCTCAACTTGACCACGTCTACCTCCAGCCTCATCCCCAAGCTCCTGCCTCCCTGTTCTGCCACGCTAAAGTGTCTTCACCAGGTATCATCAAAACCGTGGGGAAGGCTGCGGCCACAGGCCACCCAACAGAAGGGCAGACTCGGAAACCCGCGATTGTGTGTCCTCATTCACCTTATTCACCACATCTGGCACCGCACGACTTCTGTCTTTGCCCCCCACAACTGACCATGAAACGGAAATATTTGTAATCAATTCAGGACATTGAGGCAGCCACAATAGCCCAACTAAAGACACTCATGAGAAAGACACTCATTTCCGGAATGGCTGCAGAAAGTGGCAAGAATGATGGGATGAGTGTGTTTGAAGCGAGAGGAAGGGCTTTTTCGGGGGGGGGGGTTGTGACAATGAAAAATTAAACACTCCTGTGTCTTTTTTGCTTTTTGTTTTGTTTTGGGTTTTTTTGGTACTGGGGATCAAACTTGGGTCTTTGCGCTTGCAGGACAGGAGGCGGAACCACTGAGCTAAATCCCCGGCCCTACTCCTGTGTCTTTTGATCACACTGCATAGTTGCGGGTAACAAGGCCCCCAGGCTGGAACCTGAACTTCCTTTCTAAATTACTACTTGTTCTGGTTGAGTTAAAGGCAGCAAGGACCTTGTGACGACCAGAGATGGACTCTGGCGGGTCTCGGTGTGCGGTGGCAAAGCCATCCCCTGCCGTCTCTCATCTCTAAGCCCAGGGTGGCAGCTGGGTTGGGGCTGCCATATGCAAAATAGTAGTGTGGGTTGTGTAAGACCTGCAGGGTGGGCTTGTTCTTTATTGTCAGAGTTTAACACCAGGAAAGAACTGTCCCAGCCCCTCACGTTCTCACTTCCAGGCGTGTTAGGGACCAGTTTCACCATGCCCTGAAAGCAGCTCTTCTCTCTCAGGGCTGCAAGGCGGAGGTAGCTGAATAGCAGAGGCAGGAGCAAATCCTGCATGGCGTGGAGTGATGAGGCGGACTACACGCACAGCTCACTAAGCTGCAGTACAGAGGGCAGGGCTTCATTTAGGGAAGAGACTCTGGAAAGTAGAATAGGCCCCTGCTGGGAGGGAAGTCTCAGCACCCCAAGTTCCAGAGGGGGTCCTGACCTGGGTCAGACAGAAAAGGCTGCCCTGCTGGGGAAACTGCAGTGACCCCTCCCAAGTGTCCACCTTGCAAGGGGGGAATGCAATCCTCCTGCTTTAGCGTCCCGAGTAGCTGAGATTACAGGCATGCATCATGGCACCAAGTTAGCTCCTTTGAACGCTGCAAACTTTTGCTGATCTGTTAGCAAATTCATGGGAAATAAGTGGGGGATGGAAGAAGGTGGGGGGTAGATCTGGGTCTGGGTGGTCCCGGGGCTGTGTTTGGTGACAGCCAGGGCTGGGACACTGGAGGAAACCGTGGGTAGCTCTGTGTCAGGACCCAGAGCTGGAGGCTTCTGCAGCTGTCCGGGAAGCAGGGCCCACAGCTCAGCCACTGGTGACCACTGGTGACGCAGCAGGTCCATGAAGGCTGGAAGTGTGTGAGCCTGGAGGGAGAGAGGAGAGTCGAAGTCCAGACCCCAGGGCTGTGGCCACAGTTTTCTCTTCTCCTTTCCCCTGGGTCCTGGGACAGGCTCGGTCCTTGACCATGCTGTGGTATGAGTGTGACCCCCAGGACGCCTGTATTGGAGATTTAACCTCCAAATTCACAGGCTAATGGCTACTGGAGGTGGGGCTGTGGGAAGGGGATTGGGATGCACTGAGGTCCTAAGGATGGGGCCCCATGATTGGCTCTATAAGAGGAAGGGAGCCCCAGGTTCACTTGCTTGCTGGGTCTCACCATGTGACCCCCTCCACTGTGCCATGATGCAGCAGGGAGGGCCTCACCAGACACCTAACAGATGCCAGCGCCGTGTTCTTAGACTCTCAGTCTCCAGAACTACAGGTCAAATAAACCTCTACTCTCTATAAAGTACCTAAGGTTGGGTGTTTCATTATAGCAACAGAAAACTGACTAAGGCACAGTCCCAAACAACCAGGGAGTTGTCCATCAGACAGACTGTCATGTGATCTGTCCATCCATAAAGCCAGGTGTGTCAGCACTCCACTGTCAACGGAAAGGAATATACAAAGGGTTAGATTCAAGCAGGCCCTAATGACAGATGGATTACCTGAGCAGCAGGCTGCCATCTCTCCCTCAACCCGGACAATGCCTCATGGGAAATTCCCAGGCTCTATCAATTGAAGAAGAAAAAGAGAGCAGCCTGTTCACATTTGGCCTCCAGGCTCTGCAGGCAAGAACGAGAGGTGGATGCTACTGGGTGACAGTGTCTTTCAGGCTTAGTCCTAGGTGGAAGGCACCTTGAGCTCTGCCAGCTAAGAGGTTTCAGTACCCAAGAGGGGAGTATTTCTACCAGGGGACACAATGGCCACCTGGCCACAATATCCTCCTAATGGCATTGAAGCAAAAGGCAAAAAATATCAGATCATATAGATGAGGATTTTAAGCCTGATGGGTACAGGAGGTCTGGAACCTAGCAGAGCCCTTGGCGCCTCCAGAACTGCTGTGTCATGTGGCTTCCATCTGTAGAAGACCACAGCCACCTCCTGGCAGCAGCAAGTGCAAGGGCTCAGAGCACTCGCTCAGAAAGGATTGGGGTGCCCACAAGGAAACAGTGCTTGGCTAAGTTAGGGGTGGGGAGAGATGCATCATAAGAAGCAGAGGACAGTTACAAATATAACTGCAGGTCCACGAGCAGCTGCAGAAGCACGAGCTGTAGTAACTACGCAGATCATATGCCTTGCTGTGTTACCTACACATATGTAACTTATGGCTGGGTGATTGCTACACACGAGTAAGCACAGCTATATAGAAACCTCTATGCACACACACAAACATATGAACACGTCTCTTGAGTTAATATTTTCCTGGCAATGTTCTTCGTTTTTAATACCCAAACCTACAGAACGTATATGTCTGTGTGTGTCTCAACACAGTGCAACACAATGTTTTTTAACCCAAACTTTATTTAAGAAACACTTAAATTGTATTTGCATCCCAAAATCTCATTGCAAGTTTTTCCCTAAAAATTTTTTTTTTTTTTACTACATCTGCTTGCTCTTTCACTCTTTTTCTGAACCATTTAAAAATAATTTGAAGGGGCTGGGGATGTAACTCAGTAGTAGAGTGCTTGCTTCACAGGGATGAAGGCCTAGGTTCAATCGCCTTTACAGCAAAGAAATAAAAATAATTTGTAGGGATGAATACACAACATGTATTATATTCATACAATGGAATATTATTGTACCTTAAAAGGAAGGGAATTCTGAAACATGCTACAACATAGATGAATCCTGAGGACTTTATGTTAGTAAAAGAAGACTGTAGGATTTCATTTCTACAGGGTATTAATAATCAAACCCAGAGAGAGAAGGTAGAACAGTAGCTCCAGGGCAGGGACAGCGGAGAATGGGGAATTATTGTTTAATTGTCAGAGTTTCTGTTTTGCCAGATGGAGAGAGTTCTGCAAACCGGTTATACAAAAATGTGAATGTACCCAACCCTACTGAACTTTAATTTTTAAAAGGGTTAAAATGGTAAGTTGTGTGTCATGTATATTTTGCCACAATTAATTTTTTTTAATTTAGCAAATAAATAAATTGCAAGGGCAATATCATTTCACCCCTAAATACTTCAGAATGTGTCTCCTAAGAATAAGGACACTCTCCTACAAAACATTGCTCCAACAAAAAGGGTCAAAGATGTAGCTCAGTGGTGCCACACCTGCCTGGCAAGTGCTGAATTTGATTCCCAGTACCAAAAAAAAAAAAGAAGCTCTATTATGATACCTGGGAAAATTGGCATTGAAGTACTTTGTAATATTTCATTCATATTCAAATTTCCCCAAGTGTTTAAAAAATGTCTTTTATACCACTGTGGAAATCAGTATGGAGATACCTCAAAGAACTAGGACTGGAAGTCCTATTTGAAGCAGCTATTCCCCTGCTGGGTATCTTCCCCAAAGAATAAAGAGAATCATACCACAGTGATATATGTGCACCCATGTTCATAGCAGCACAATTAATAGCTAAAACTTGGAAACAGCCCAAATGCCTATCAGCTGGAGACTGGATAAAGAAAATGTGTTTTTTAAATAAAATGGAGTACTACTCAGCCAGAAAAAATGAGAAATTAGACCCATTTACAGCTAAATGGATGCACATGGAGGCGATACTCTGAAGTGAAATAAATAGGACACACATGTATAGATACCGAATAGTCTCTCTAGTGTAAGAAACTGAAAGTGTAAATAAGGACTAAAAGGTATAATGGATAATGTGAAATAGGAAGAAAAGGGGCAAAAGGGAAGGGGAAGTGGGAGGGGTAGGGGAAAGGAAAGAAGGGAATGGAATTAATATGA